ACTGTTTCTCTGAACTTACAAAAAGGCACCTCTGAGTCCGATCAGAGGTGCTGAAATGAATATAGGCTGTTTGCTGGGAGGTTGTTTATACCTGAGCAGTTATTTCTTGCAAGGAGAGCCTGATTTTTGAGCTTTCAGATTTGTTCCAAGAGGTTGGACTGAAGGAAATGAGCAAGCATCTACGGAAAAAGTGTTCTTAAACTTGGGAACAGTGCACATCCTGACAGTGGGAATTAATCAAAGCTTGTTTACAAGAGCTATTTTTAGCATAAAAGGTTATCATAAACACTGCAATAAGCATTTGGCGTAACAGTTCAAAGTTTCGTGTTGATGAATAATTCCTGCTTTGGTGATTGGAAAATTTTTCGAAATAATAGAACTGATTAGAAAAAGCTTAAGATAAAAATTGGATACAGACTGAGCAATACAGCCTTGGGGCAGTATGAACAGTGGATGAGGCATCACACTGGCACTTGGGACGCTATTGCTCAGCTCCTGATTCTGCTGTAGCTGTGACAGGCACCCCGGGGAGGTCACTTCACTTTTCTGTGCCCCTCTGACTTGATCTGATCTCCTGATGTAAGCTGGATGGGGATTCCCTCTCATTTATTGGCTTCCTAGAGCTATGTGAGAACAATCTTGGCTGGGATCCAGAAATGTAACTATAATGCAAACAATAGTGTTGTGATACTTCATTCTGCTGAATTATAGTTAAATAATCATATATTTATGCTAATTTATGTTAAATTGGAATATTTGCAGTCCAGTCTCCCTGCTATATTGTCATGGTGCCTAATTGTCAGGGAACTCAAATCCTGCCGTTATTGAAGGAGAAATGAAAGAAGTTGCAGGAAAAACAAAAACTCATTTTCCTTTCAAAATTTAATTGGCAATTATTTTAAGATCGACAATGACAACAGAAGTCCTACCTAAAAATCAGTGCTATTTGATTCCAAAGTTACCTCTTTGTAAGACCTGGCAAGTTCTGGCCTACGTACGTTAGGTGCCGCTGCCTAGATAAAATGACATAAAACCTATGGGAAACCGAAGGTTAAATTCTACCCCCACTTCCTCATCCTAACCTCCTACTTTCATTTGGTCCCAACTTCCTCAAATGTTTTTTATTTGAAGTTGAATTTTCTTATACTGATGCTCCAGTTCGGCCCCAAAATAAATAAATGAAGAATATTTAAAGCAAAATGAAAGAATAGAGGGATTTCTGGGAGCAGCTTGCAGGGGCAATGGCTTTACATATTTTTCTTCTACCAAATAGATTAATTCTAAAGAAAATGAGATTTTTGCCAGTGGCAACCACTATATCGCTTCTGATGTGCCAAGCTCCTTATGTGTTATTCTCTGTGTACAACGATATTAGTAGCTAGCGATTTTCATAGGAGTAACTTCAGCTGTACGAGGGATGTTATTGATATACATTAGTATAATTATACTGCTAAGTTACCTGATACAGGGCCCAGCAGAGGCCCTGTATTTCTTTGCTGTAGGCTTTGGGCCGTGAGCGTGATTTGGGGTTTTACCACAGGCAGCAGCTCCAGGGACCGTGCGTTTGCTGGAGAACCCCACGGAGGGGGGGCAGCGAGGGGGACAACGCTGGTGGCAGCAGAGGTACAACCGCCCGCTGACTGCATTTCTCCTTCCGTGGCCCTGGATGTGCTTGTCGCCTGTCTTGATCTGCCCGAGGGTGCCTGCCCCGTTTCCTTGATAGGGTTGATCCGTCTTTGAGAACGGGAGCATGCCCTGTTAAGTACCACAGGAGACAACCATGATCTGCCCTTGAGTGTGTCTGCAAGCTCCTCTCGCCTGCTAAAGCTGGGGCTGCTGAGGGAAGCAAGGGCTGCAAAGGGGTTTATCATCAGGGAAGCTGAAGGGTGTCTGCAAAACGCGCTGGCTGTGCTTTCAGGTGATGTGTGGCGGGGGGGTGCACAGCAGCACAAACCCTCTGCCCTCCCTCTTCCCAGTCCACATTGCAGATGCCTCCAGCTGGCCTAAGGTAATTTTAATAAAAATGTTAAACTCCCACCCAACAAATCCCCATAGCCACGTGCTTTAAAGCTGACTCTATATTAAAAGTGCTTTGCTAAACTAGGACATTAAGGGTTTGAACCTGCAGCCCCAATGTGAGTGATCCTGTGCCCTCTGTGTGTGTTTGTATAAGTAATATAATTTATATACATGGAAAAGCAAACTTAATCATCTGATAATACAAGTAAAGTGTTTGTCTTTCACTGTTGGAGGCATTTAAGAATACAAATGCTTTGAATAGCCTTCCTGCCTTTGAATGGTGATGTTTTGTTAATGCAAACTTAATGAGCTGGAAAAAAAAAATGGAAAGGAGGGTCTGAGGTTAGAGCTGAAAAGTCAGTTTTTTCTCTGAACTCACACTTGGCTGATTGTCTTGGGCTATAGCCATGATCCCTGCTGAATAAACCATTTGTTTGCTTCCGGAAAAGTCAAAAAAAAAAAAAAACCCTTGACATTCTTTACACAGCAGAAACAAGCTTGGGAGCAGATGGTCTCTTTCTTTTTTTTTTTTTTTTTTTAATGTCATTATGGTCAAAGTGCATACTATTCACATATATTATTGTATATTTTTTTATTTTAAATTCTAGCCCTGATGTAATTTCCTGAAGCCAGTTGCTTTGTACTAAGGAGGAACTGGCCCCCCTGCGTGTCTAGTTTGACTTGCAGTGCAGAGATGCTAAATGATAAATGCCCAGCCTGTGCTGGCGATCCCCGACGGGTGACTTCTCCTCCCTGCTAGTGAAAGCTTGTGTTGAGAAGCAGAGGATGATTAACTAAGTGCTCTCAGCAGCTCTGAGACTGGGGCTGTTGATTCCCCTCTTGGTGCTGGGGGAGATGGTCTGCTGGCTGAGGGGCACGGTGAGGAGTGGGAGGCAGAGGCAGCAGCACGCAGCCGGTGTCGTCTTTGTCACCAAGGGTTGTGCGCTCTCGACAGTGTCTCGGGCAGCTCTGCATTGCAAATGCTTGTCCCTCTACATTTGCGCCCAGTCCATCCTTAGGCACCGGCTGATGCAGTTGCAGAAGGTATAAATTGGACTCGTCCTTTAATTGTAACTGATTAATACTTTAAAGTAAAAACTATATAGTTGGCCCAGCATCTTCCCTTTAAAAAAAAATAAAAAACCTAATACGTGTTTTACAAAGCAATACAAACGAATACAAAGCAGTAGAGACAGAGGCAAACAAATTTATGCTTCTAGATTTCTTCCAAAAGGAGAAAATGAGGATTTCCACAAGAAACATGAAGAAAAAGGCTGAACATATTGTTTCAGGGAGGAAAACAACAAAACTGAAATATTCTCTCTCTTTAATAGGATGTGCACTAGAGAACAAAACCGGTATGCTGAAATTGCAACGTTAAGCCAATAAAGAAAACCAAGTTCTCCAAGAAACTGAAAAATTTCTCATTGTTTTTGCAAATAAGGCTGATGCAATTAAGCCTGGAGCCTTCGGGCCAGCCAGATGTGATGTGGCTGCTCCTGCGCGCCCGAGGAGGGCTCCGAAAGCAGAGCCCTCGCAGCTTCCTCTCGGGCCATCCTGGCTGCCTCTGGCCACAGAGCGCCTTTGATCAACACAGGACTTACCCAGTGGCTTGTCAGTGGCTTTGGCAGTATACAGTTAGACTTTGTTATCCTTTATTCAGAAATAAGAAGGATTTTTTTTTTAAATTATTCAGAGCCTGTTCTACCACAACATAGATTTGCAATGTCTGAGCGCAAATGAGCCGGCTTACAGGTAAACCATAAAGATAAAGCTTGGCCTAGCTGGCTGAGGAGCACAGAACAGCTGTGATAGCTGTAAATCATTTTCTAAGAAAACCTAGAAGGCTAGGAAGTTGCACGTAAAACACGACAAGAAACTATTGGGTCTATTCCTACATAGAAACTTCTCTATACTAATCACCTACAAATCACCTGCTGCAGATTTCTTATTCATAGAATTGAAACTTTTAACAATCTTAACCTTTGGAAGAGAAGGCAAGAGACAATTACCTTCACAGGAAGGCGAAAAAAATGCAACAGGGAAAAGATTAACCAAAAAACACAAATGTTTTCATAAATATATCAATGTGGCTTTAGATTTCGTCACAACAGTAGCCTGACTTCCCCAGGAAAGATAAGACGTGCTGGATTCATGAACCCTCCTCTACATGTGCAAATATATAGGATGCAAGTAGGATACAGAGTCTTTTCTCCTGGCTGGACAGGAGGTAGGGAGATAACAGAGCATGTCAGAGTTCAGTGGAGCGGCAGGCAAGGAGTTCAGAAGTCTGCGATTGACAAAGCCGGTATCGGGGGAATGGATGTGTATTTTTCCTGGGAATTACTGAGGTGCGTTAAATGAAAGGGAAGTTCCTCAGGAAGACTGCAACGGAGTACTTTTCTACTTTTTATACTAAAGGCACTGTTAACAGGGGTCTGCCTGATGAGCGGAGCAGTCGATTTAGGCACTCTTAATAGGAAAAGTATTTGAACTTCTTAGGAAACCTGAATTCATGTAAATGTCCTTTGTTAAGCCATTTGCTGGGAATACACAGATTTTGCCTACCTTCTCTAATATTTACTGCGTGTTCTGCATTTGTTGGGTGATGTAAAGGATGCTGAGGGCCAAAAGAATACGCACTGAGGTTACGTGCCTCAGTGTCTGGTTACACCTGTGTTAACGCAGATTTACATGCTGAAAACACGTCTTGCAGAAACACATATAACATAAGGTGAGTAAAGGGCATGTCACATTTACTTACCAAAAGGTTTAGTTCTGCCTCTCTAATAATAAGGATTTCCCTTTCACATACTGCGCAGGTGGGTTTCTTCGCAAGAACGCTCCTACCAGAACAGTATTATGTAAAGGAAATTCTAACAGCAGGAAAGTGTTTACTGTCTTTTTATTGGGTGTGATTGTACTGAAGAAGGATAGCTAGGAAAACTGAAGATTTTAAATACTTTTTGTCCTTTTTTCAGTATGCGCTGACAACGAGAATGAACTAGAGGCAGACCAGCAGATGGACAACTTGTACCTGAAAGCTTTGGAGGGATTTATTGCCGTGGTGACACAGGATGGAGACATGATCTTCTTGTCAGAGAATGTCAACAAATACATGGGTCTAACCCAGGTAACTTGTTCCCTAACACTTTCCTGTCTTTGTAATATAATTCCCAGAAACTAGGCATATGCTTAAATGCAGAAAAGCAGTTGTCTCTCACTGAGGAAAAAAAGGCTTCCTGGATCCTGCTGTGGAGAACAGAATGGGCATTTTTATATTGTTAAAGATAGCCAAAGTTTTCAGAGGATTTTGATTTGATGTTACATGCTGTTCTGTGCACTATTGAGCTGCCGATTGGGTATGGTTGTGGAGTCAGTGTAAACAGATTAATTACAGGACACAGGACAAATTACTAATAAAGACGACTGAGTTAAACCTAATTGTGACGCACTGCGCACTGCAGTGGTCAAACTTAGCATGTTGTCTTACTTCCTTGCTCAAAAACATTGGAAATGATCCTGTAGCTACTGTCAGTACCCTTAGTTCTGCTGACTGGTTTGTTCTAAATACATAGCATTTGGAAATAAATAAATGATCAACTGAAATTATCATTGAGAAAAGAGGATTCACAAGAAAGTGTCTCAACATTCCATTTTATTTATATTATATTATTAGCAGTTGCTTTTTTTGGCTAAATACAGTTTTTATTTCTGAACAGGTGGAATTAACTGGACACAGCATTTTTGACTTCACTCACCCGTGTGACCATGAAGAAATTCGAGAGAATCTGAGTCTGAAAAATGGTAATCTTGAAAATACAAAAGAGTTGCTGTTTGCTTTTTAAATAACCAAATGAAGTAATTGGCTGACAGTAGAGATCAGTTAGTCATGGTAAAGGGAATTTTCATTCCTGGAGTAATCATTAACTGTTATTCAGTGCTTTGCAAATTTGTTTTGTTTTGTTTTGCCAAATATGCTTAAGTATGGTAACATTAAGAACGGCTTCTTTAGTGTTTTCCTTTCATCAAGTTAAGACAGGCATAATGTTTTCACTTGTAACTGTTTGCAAAGATATATGTGCTACAAGGCAAAACACAGATTTAAATGCACAGGCCCTAAAGTTTTAGGTTTTAGATCTACAAACTGCGCTTCATTGGTCCGTGCATCTGTGATGGTTTCTGCAGATAAATTATCTGATAATTAGTCTATTATTAGGTACGAATCTTTTGGGCTTATAAATAGAATGAATTAAGAAGCAAAAGTGAGAAGACTCATTCGTTCTTTTCCTTATCTAGGTCCAGGTTTTGGAAAGAAAAGCAAAGAGATGTCAACTGAGCGTGACTTCTTCATGAGGATGAAATGCACCGTTACCAACAGAGGCAGAACTGTTAACCTCAAATCTGCCACATGGAAGGTACCATATTTTAGCCATAATACGTGTTACTAATTAAAAAAGACATTTTGGCTTGTAGAAAAAGTACATTCTAAGTTTGTCTCTCATTCAAAAATCATTATTTCAGGTTTTGCACTGCACTGGACAAGTTAAAGTATATAACACTTGCCCTCCTCACACTCTGTGTGGGTATAAAGAGCCTCTTCTCACCTGCCTTATAATAATGTGTGAGCCTATTCAGCATCCTTCAAACATCGATATCCCCCTGGACAGCAAGACCTTCCTGAGTCGCCATAGCATGGACATGAAATTTACATACTGCGATGACAGGTAAGCTCCACTGAAGTTTCTACCTTTCCGAACACAAGCAGTCAGTCCTTCCAAACTTTCTTCCTGTGTGGACCTGGTAAGAAAGGACTGGAAGAGAACGCAGTCTGTTACCAAGACAGATGCTCGATGGCTCACTTAATCCATCTCAAATCTGAGTTTAGGAAAAATGGTGGTACCCCTGCTGTATTTTCTCCTCCTTGTTAGTGGTGAGCTCAAGTTCATTGGCAGAAGATGAGAAAATTTAGAGTGATAAGCATCTTAGGCTTTAACGAACTGAAGAGTAAAGAGGATTTCTGTTACGTTTTTTAGAGAACGCCTCTAAGGACGTGCCTTGCAGACCTTATTCAAGGACAGTTTTGTGGTTGGTTTGACCCAGGATGATATAATCAGTTAGCTGTAAAATACTTTATTAGAAGAGTGGCTAAGAATTGCTAAGGAGTCCAGAGCGTCTGCAGCTCTGCAACAGGGTTATGATCTCCTGCTCAGTGAAAAACAGCCTTTCTTGTTATCCCTCTGCTTCTTTTAGTGATGACATGAAGGGGAACGGAAGATTTTGGGTCAGGGGAGGGACCTGTGTCCTCTATCATGGTGTTTCACACCATGCGTCTCTTCTCTCCGCCTAAGTGTTGGGGGGGCCCTCTTCCCAGCATCTGAGAGTGAACCAGAGATCTCTTCCCATGCAACTTCCTCCTGCCCTGTCTTTTTCTAGAAAGTCTTGCCTGTCATACCTTTTTTGAAGTTTATGAGATCTTCCCTGAAAGAAACATGAAGTTTTGGATGGTTCTGGCTAGTGACACTAGTCTCTGGGAACTCAGAGCTGCTTGTAACCGCAGACGTCCAAGGGCTTGCCAATGGGATTATGCATATGCTTGAACCTTATGAGGAAAAATGGCAGGTCTGAGATCTTGGTTTTTTTCGTGGTCTTTTGAGGATTTTAACTTCTTCCAGGCAACATTGTTTTAAATAGTGTGATGAAGCAATGGTACAAACTAGCAGGGTTAGCAGCTGTGGATGAAAGCAAGATTACAAGTGTGAAACTTGTGACTGACCTTCTTCTGACCTCTCTGAGAATTTAGCAGCAAATATGTTGTAACTAGAAATGTACTGTGAATTGCAACAGGAGTCTGCTCTGCTCAGATAAGTAGAAGGTAATTATATGAAAGCAGGTTAGCCGTTCTTTAAAGAAAGCTGCTAGGATTCTCAGAGAATAAATACAATGACTGAGACTTATGATATTGTCTCCAGGAAGGTACAGGGGGCTACCCTGTTATGTGTATGCATTCAGGGTAAAGAGGCACTCATTTTCAAAAGCCTTCCCCACTCTGCACCACAACACAAAACCAGTGTTTATTCACACACACAGTTATGCATAGAAAAATTTATTGGATATAAACTCTAAAAATTTTGGCTCATGGTGTATTTTGATTCAACTTCAACAAAACACATCATTTCTTCTTAAATACTTTAAGACGAAAATTTTGAGATATCAATAGGATTTTGCTACCGGAGTAAAAAAAAAATCCAACAACGTAGTAGGGACTCATTATAAAAAGCAGCCTGCCTCATAATTACCATAAACTCCCTCAGTGACAGGCTAGAGGAGAGTAAGAGGGGGTTTCACTGTGTTACAGCATTTGCGTATCTCTGTCAGACTTTATAAGCAATTGTTAATGAGAATTAGGGGGACCGATACTTCCCCATTAGAGATGGATATACTTACTTTGAAAAGAATAAAGTCCTGTCTTAAACAGTGGGAGCAGATTTACAGGGAAAACTCTTCATACAGCCGTGTAATACAGCAGCTTCCTCTGGATGATTTAACCTGTATGCAATTTCAGCAATTTCTCTTTAAAACTAGGCAACAAAACAGCACGTATTTTGCTAGACAGTTTTAGTTGGGTGTTTCAGTCATGTTTTGCTGAGATGATGATAAAGCGGTGAGCCAGGCCGGAGAAGGAAGCAGACCTCGGGCACCTCCCAGGTTCCCCTCAGCAGAGCCCTGTGACTCTCTGCTCCCATCTAGAAGGATGCTGATTCCTCTCCAACAGAAGACACATCAGTAGACACATAAAAGTGCAAAACACTCAGTTGCTCTTATCAAATTCAGTGCTGCTAGACAAATTGTATGAAAGGAACAGCTTATGCCAGGAATGTGAATGCAGTCTGAAGGAGAACTGAGGAGAAGGGGGAGGAAAAGCAACACGTGCCAGTCAGCTGCCTAAACCCTTTTCAAAGTACTCTTGCCTTTCTGCAGCAAAGGAATTCCTCTTCCCTCATCTCAGATGTGTAGTGCACTAGCCTACATATCTTGCCCTCCAAAAATAATTTGTATATGTGGGCCTATGACTCTCCTGTGGCTAGGTGGGCCGTGCTGGTATTCTTAAAATAGCTTTAGCAAGGCAATGGAGCTGTAAAGAGAATTTTTTGAGATACAACTATTAAAAATAAGGTGCACGATTCAACTTGCTTTTCTGTTAAATGCCTGCTTCAGCCATTAATGGGGAGCGATTTAGAAACATTCCCTTGCTCTGCTTATCTTGGCTAAGTGGTTTAAAGAAAGGATTATTTTAGCTGTAATGCGGAAATGCTGATCGGTGTACAATTCAATAATCCAAGCAAGGACTTACTTCAGCTGTACAATGCTTTTGTGTTGGGGAAGATCTCCAGTGAGGATGGTTTTAGGCCAAAAAAAGGCAAGTCTGTGTATGACAGGAATTCTCTTACTTTGGAGGCATAACTGATGCTCAGCGGTGTCTTCCCGTGTTGAGCCACTAGGGCAATGGGCGGTTAGAGGTGGAAAAGCCAAAAAACAAAAGTGAAAACTGAATCTGAACTTGATACAAAATATCCACGAAACCCCCCAACTACTTTAGGTTCCCCCGGCACATGCGATCTTAGCCTGTGTGGTTCACTTAGCAAGGGAAAACCATGAGCTGTATTTGGAGGACAAGAGGGCTTTGCAAGCACAAAGGATACTGTGGCATTGCAGGTGACACCAGCTTTTCACCTTGACACACGTGCTCTCTCTGGGGTGCTGCGGAAGTTGGGGCGGGGGGGAAACTCTTTGCCTGTAATTGCTCTACAGAGAATGCATGAGACGAGAGAGAGATAAGGAAATAAATCTATTCTGGACAGTGGGAGCAGATTAGAGGTACGTGCGCTGGTGCCAAAGGTTGTGTCATGTACCAGTTTCCTGGTACTGATGTACTGAAAAAGCATATGTTGTCCATTACTGTGGAGGCATGATTGCTTTGGAGAACTGTATGTTTGCGGTTACACGAAACTTAATTAGTTATACTCTTTTTTGCTTTTTCTTCGTTGGAACTTTTTAAATGGAGGGGATGAGGAAGAAAAGAGAGTGATGGAGGATGTATGGTGATTCAAAAGAGCTGCATTTAGGATTATACAGAAAGATGCAATTCTGATAGTGTCAGTCCAAGTTAGGAGATTAGTTTTCTTCTAATATGAATGTACACGTGGAATCCAGTCTATGTCCGATTGAAAGGAAACTGTGTTGTATTGTGTTTCTAATTCGGGCCATGTAAAACAGAAAAATTTAGGCATAGGGCCTTACGTAAGGGTTTAAAAGTCAGCTTACCATTTGACCTGTATTTGGAGAATATTTTTAAATTAGGTGAGACTGCAAATCAGCACATGAACGGATTTCCTATCTCCCCTCCCTCCCTGCTCAGGGGAAAGATGCAATAATGAGATGACAGTGATGATATCTGAAGCTAAGGATCCTCATTTGGGAACACTAGCTCTTAACAAGAAACAGGAATAACTTCTTTTGTTGATAAACTTTCTTCTAGACAGACCAAATGAGTAGGAGAGACACTGAGTCCTGGTGAAGTTTTTAATGTACCCATCTAGTTTCTTTTTTGACCAGAAAGGAGGATACACCTGAAATCGGGACAGCTGTCCCTCTGAGCAGTGGACATGGCTCTCGGGTTTTTGTACGTTTTTGGCCTGGGTTAGAGTGGAAGCAGCCATGAATATTTCTCCACTTTTTGCTGCCTTTTGGGATTGTCTGGGGCTCCCTCTCAACAGTAAATCTGGGTACTTAGCAGGATTGCCACAACAACATGCTGCTCACCCTAGCAAGCTGGCAGAGTGTTTACCCAGCGTTTACCCCTGAGGGAATGTGCGTTGGGTTTATTTTTTTTAACTCATTCTGCTTTAAAAGTATAATTTTTTTTGTTTGTTTGTTCCTGCCAAGACCAATTTAACTTCAATAACTTGGTAACAGTTTGAATAAAGACTTTGTCTAGAGTTCCACACCCTCACATGCACAGTCCACGTAAGGTCTTAAGAATATATACTTAGTTATTTTTTATGAACAGTAAACATTGCAGTCGTCTTTCACAAAGAGCCTGGCTTCTCATTCCTGTTATTTCTTATGACACTATTTTAACTCAAGAAGTGGTATGGACTGGAAAAGCTTTGTATTCCCCTAAAGGGACAGAAAAGCACTAAAGCCCAATTTAAAAAAAAAAAAAAAAAGCTCATTTCTAAGAAATGTAGTCTTTGAAGCAGTGAGCTTTGTATGTGTTTTGTCGTGTCTCAGAGAAATAAAATGAGCCAAAGAAGTCATACAAATCCAGAAATAGGATTCAGATCATTTGTTTCTCCATCACGTACCTCAGGCGCAAACTTTGCCTTTATTCCACATCCCAAGACATTTCAATTACTCTAAAAAATGGGTATATTAAGAGAAACTGAAAGGTAGTGCTCAAAAGGTATTTAAATCGTGGTAGCTGGGACACATGGGCACTTGAGGACTACTGTCCTTCTCTTTAATGTGTTTTCTGAGATTTTGACCACGGTTACATCATGGTGACAAATTTAGCAAAGTGCCAGTTTGACAAAATTAAGATTCTCCCAAAGGTATTTGTGTTTTTAGAGGAGAGTGGTTAACAGGAGAATAAAGAGCCTCTCAGGCCACCTGTATTCTTCAACTAAAATTACTGTTATTCTAATTAGCACCAATTTAGTTTTTATAAATGCAAAGAAAACACAAAGCCTCGCATGGCAGGAAAGCCATCACTGTAAAGTTTGTTTATGATTTTGTCATTCCACAGCCTGCACAAAGAGCAATTTTCTATCCAGTGTCCGGGAAAAAGCAAGTGTCTTGTGTTCTGGACTCAGGTTTTGTAAATGCTTGGTCCCATGGGTCATATACATTTCTATGGCTCTTTCAGTTTTGTCCTCCTTCTCCTGGCTCTGTAGAGGCTGCCTTTGCCATTGCGCTGAGTCCTCTGCCTATTCCTTTGGCAATGCGTAGCCCTTGGAGGCTGTCGTGGAAATCATGCGGTTTGAAGGATGCGTCTCGGCGGCAAAACTCAAAGCGATTCTCAAGCGAACTCAGCGCAGAGGCTCTTTAACTCCTTTACTGCCTTTTTGGCCCAGGTGTTGTTTAGCCTCTTAGCTGCTTAGGTCTTCTTTCATGAACTGCCAGTACTTACTTCTTGGAGAACCACGGGACAGATGCGAGACCAGGGAGCTGGCGCTAGCACTGGTGAGCAATGCAGCACGGAGCTGGCTAATCTGATTTGCAGGGCTGCAAAGACTGCAGCCTGGGAGCTTTGAAGCTCTGCATATTGGCAGCTCCAGAGCGAGGAGGAGGAGGAATACAGGAGTGTGTCATCTGCCAGTTCAAGTAGGACAAAACAATACCATTAACAATTCTTGGAGAGAGGATATCTGTCCTCAAAATTGCAGTATTAAAAAATATATCTAGGAAATATTTTCAGCTAATTTTAGTTTTTTAGGGTGGGAGAAAGAAATATGACATAATTTAAAAAAAACAAACTTAAAATACCAAAAAAAAAAAAACCCTACTTCTTAATTCCCAAGAGTGTTTAACGGGAAATGTAATGAAGCCTGGTAGTGGTAGCAGATTAATAGATTTGTTAACGATTTCTTTTGAAACAATCAGTCGTGACTGGTATATCACTGTTACCCAGCACAGGTTTAGAATTTTTCAGTATTGTCTGGACTGAGGGAAGTTCTCCAATACCTTATTTTTATCTTTGTTTCGTATACTTTTTAATTGTTTGTAGTGTAAGGACATCAACCCATCTCTAGCTAACTTTAATACAAGGTTACATTAGATCTAATTAAATTAGACATCCTCACAGCAGGATCATACCACAAGTTCTGTGCTATGGGATAAGAAGGGTAATTTTATAGTTACGAGCAGAGCAGTGAGGAGTAATGTGAGAGGGGCATTACCGGACTGGAAGTAAAAACTGGCACAGAGACTGCAATTACTATATGATAAGTGTTAAGAGGCCCTAGGCCTGCTGTTATATGTTTTGTTTTTTTTTTTCTCGCTATCTCAGTTCCATTGCTGACACCCAATTAAGACTATGGTGTAGTTTTGGATTTACATTGAGGCTGCTGAAAGCATGATGCTTCTTTTTTTTCATTACTTTTATTTCCTTTTTCCTCTCTTCCCCCTCCCAACCTCTACTTGACTGAGACCTCCAAATGACTGGATTAACATTAAATCCTGAACTTCCTGAATTTTAAAAGCCTTCCCCAATGAGCGCCAAACTCATTTGGATAGTTGTATGATTCTATGCCATTATCTAACCAGAGGGCCACAGTTTCTGTTTTTAAAGACTGTATGTTTACACCGGCCTGTGACCTCAGTGACTGTATGAAGAGAAGTGGCAACTGTGTTTCTGGATCCTGAATTTTATTAGGACTCTGTTGGTATTTGGCATTTTCTTCTGATGCTCCAGTTCTTATGACCAACTCACTGTGAGAAGTTATGCTTTGATTAAAAAGAAAAAGCACTTGTGGTTTCAGAGGAAAGTTCTGTATTTGACTGGGGGGCAATTTAAAAGCTCAGAAACTTTTCAGAGAAAGGAGACAAAAACGCAAATGCAATTTTGCCCTTTCTTGAAATCTGATTCAAGAATTTGGCCTTTGTTGGTCTAACTCATAACATGTACACATTTGTACATGTGAAAAAGGTTATTTACAATTAGGAAAGCCAATGCTGTAAATACTTGGACCTTCAGAAAGGAAGAATTGTTGCCGGTTCTTCCCTCCCCATGTGTCAGACACATTATCCAGAAAAATGATGACTGGCAATGGGGAATGCCAATAAAATCAGTTATCCGAATGCTTGACTAAACCATTATAGACCCAGGCTCATTCCATGGAAATCGGGACAGAGAGTATTTTTCAGCATGACACAACCAAGGTGTCCTGCGGGTATGAGCTATATAGTTCTGTGGCGGCGAGGGAAAAGCTGACTCAACACCATGGCTTTTAAACCGTATACAAAATAGCTACATCTTATTTGTCTTCCTTGCTTGAGGGCAATCTAAGAGATGACTGCCATGCTCTCCTTTTGTTTGTTTTACAGTACTTACGTGTCTGTCTTGTAAAGACATGCTTTTGTCTAGCGTGCTGGGCCAATACTATCCTTCAAGGGAGCTGAGGATGTGTCTTAAAAATAGTAATGCAGTAATGCCACTAATCAACAGTTGTGGTGGCCAATAAACTCTTCCCAAGGGAGTTAGTTACAGGGCAGGGCACCTGAGCATGCCACCATGCATGGCAATGGTGGTTACCTGCTCTGACACGTGACCCTTCCTTTCCAAGCGTCTCAGCTTTTCAAGGTTTATGACAACTTTACAGTCAGTTAATCAGTTTGTAGTTGTTTTTGATGCTGCTCTCTGCAAAATTGCAAGTTATTATTGCAGTTGGAAAACTAGGAAAAGGCCTGCCAAGAGCATTGTGGTTCACTTGGAAAACAATGACATTTCCTGATTTTTCCAGCAGGTATAGTATCTTTGCTTTTGAAGGCATATAGAGGATTTTGTTTTGTTACTAACCATATTTCCTGTAAAGTTGTCTATGACAGTATTGCAGATTTAATTTAGGAAAAACAAACCCTTTTCCCCTACCCCCTCACTGAGAGACAATTGTTTACACATTTTGATGAGCTCTTTCTGTTTATTCAGAAACTTGTGAAAAATCCTGCCTTGCCTGAGTACTCATAAAGGCTCTGAAAATAGTCTAGTTTTGGAGCTTTTGGCTTTCTTTGTGTAAAAGCCTACTTAGTTTGTGGATTACTCACCCAAGTAACCAAATCCATGGGCTAAAGTTCTAGTATAATTGAGAAATGCTAAGTAGAAGAGCTGATTTCTTTTTTTTAACCACCATTAATTTCTCACCTTGCACTTTTATTAAATGCGATATACAAAGTAGTGAGTATTTTCTAAAGTATATATTCTTTTAAATCTGATAGTGTCACCCTCTATTCCTTGCATGCATTTTATTCTAAATGATGGTCGTGAGGGTTTCAGTATGCAGTAGACAGACATTCTGTAAGCGATGGTTTTTCCAGTTGTGATTTTTCTCTAAGAGCTACTGTGCAATAGCCCTGGGAAAATTTGCAGCGCATGTAATGACTACCCTTGGAATTTTAATTACAGTAGTAGTAAAAGGCAGTTTATTCTGAACATGGAAACATTTTAGAACACGATTAGGCATCCTCGATAGCTTCTTATGTGTTAGGAAGTTTCAAATTTTTCGCAGTGTGATTTTAGTTCTGTGAGTCTAAGGACTCGAACTAATAGCTGCTCTTCACATGTAAACGTAAGGCTAGGGCGACGTGAATTTAAAATGTTTGTTTTTTTCTTAACCAAGAATAACAGAATTGGTTGGTTACCATCCAGAGGAGCTACTGGGCCGCTCAGCGTATGAGTTCTACCATGCCTTGGACTCAGAGAATATGACCAAAAGTCATCAGAACTGTAAGTCATATTCTTATTTTATTTCACAGTTTGCACAAAAAGCACAGCTTCCAGGTTCCTCGATACGTAATTGAACATATAAATGAACCTTGTGTGTGAGGCTGTTTTTTATGTGCGTATAGTCTCTGAGGACAGAATTTACCCTTTGCAGGAAGGTTACGTGCTATTGGGTTTTTTCTGCTGAAAACTGCTGCTGATATTTCCGCAGGGTTTGATTTTGCCGTACTTTAAGTTAAATTTGGGTGGCAGTTACTCCTAAGAGAATCTCTATCTCTCTGAGGGATAACACACAGATCATCTGAACTGACCTCAGTTAGTCAATACTAGCTTGTCTGTCTGTTCCCGCTCTTCAAAAGATCACACAATTATGCCTCCTCTCTCTCACATAAGATTTGAATCAAATAATTTTAAGACACATCTTAAGCTTCTGTCCCTAAAGGTGGCACTTTGCTTGGAGACAGCATAGATCCACTAATGTACGAGTGATGTTTCCCACCTCTGTTATAACCACTGAACTAATGCATGGGAGATTTGTTGAGAAAGAACAACTACAACTGCTGGTTCTGCTTTTTCTATTATTAAAGAGAGAGAGAGAGAGAGAGAGAGAGAGAGAGAGAAGAGCTGCTAGTTTAAAAAAAAAGCACCTTGCAGTTGTTATGATCTAGGTCTGTGCCTCAGCAAAAAAGAGCATGACTTGCCTCATGTCTATAGGGAGTTACCCCCAAAAACATACTTACAAAAAGTATTCCTGTACTTTTCAGAGAAAAGTAGCAGCAAAAAATAACTGTCTGACAGGGACAAGGGAGTATGTATTAATGTAGTGGCAAGGATACAGGACAGCTTAGAGTTGAAATGTTATTTGAAAGAATACTTGGCAGTGATTAAAGTTTATGCTGTAGAACAGTTTTGGTATGAATCATCCTGTTTCCAGAGCCGTTAAATAAAAAAAAAATCATACCATACTTATGGAAAGTTGTCTGGGAACCTATTTGTTAAAATTGTTTCTTAGGAAATCTATTTATGCTTCTAACAGCAAAAAGTATTTAGAGATATTCATAGGCAGGGTGTGCATATCCTACATTGGGTTATCAAGAGGCATCGTGAGTAATGAGTGGGGCTGCTGCGTTGTTGTTTTCCGATTGCTGAGTTATGTTTATGAGAATGGGACAGTGCCAGAGGGGGACTGAAATGAGCATTGGCAACCTCTTGGGTAACAGGAGGGGAGACTCCATGGTGGTAATGAATTAGATAGGACCACTGAGTCAAGACTTGTCCCTGTAAGGATTTTGGGGTAGATTCTAGTATCTGTTTTGACCAGGCTTTGATGGAGGTTGCTTCTCACTCTGACAATTAGATTCACCTCATGTAGAGCACGAGTTGCATCTAGATGCCATTTGTGACTACTGAACAGGGCCATGTCCTGCAAACATGTGCTGTTGGGCAGGAGGCCTGATCATGACGTGGTTAAAGGAAGATCTAGGGGGGGGTTGGTTATACCAGCAAAATTGCATGTGGCTGCTCAAAGTACTGTGCACTATGTGGATAATAAATATTTAGGGTCAAACTATAATGAGTGATTCCATAGTGCGTATAGTACCACAGGATCAGCATGGATGATCTCCACTGTTGGAAGCAGTGGACCAAACTCTGTGCTGTGCTGAACTGATAAATGCTGTTGCCCATAACAGGACTGTCAGTTTACGTCATCAGCAAATCTGACCCTTTTTGTCATAATGAGGTAAATACATCCTGTGTCTTCTAGGACAGTCAGGCTTCCTACGAACTCATTGAGTGACCACAAGGGCAAAGAGGCAGCAAACTGCAATTGCGCAAGCATCCGTAAGCCCTCTGAATAGAAAACTCCTCTTTTTCTTAATGAGTGCCAATATTAATGAGATGTTGTCTAGCACACAGAGTAACCAAGCAGGTATATAGCTATACAGAACTTACGAGTTGTCTCTGGCTGTGCTCGTTTATACATGGAAACATCCATCTCATAGCTTATATAAAGAAAGAGACACAAGTCAGAATACGAAAACAAAAATGGAATTCACCACACTTGCATTTTTTTTAACAATCATTTTTATTAAACGTATTCTATGCATAGAACATATGTTCATACAGCAACATAGCCATCAATTCTGACAACGCTAACCACTTCGTGCTGTAAAGATGCATAGGAAATAGAAGGAGGAGGCAGAATTTTGAAGAAAGAGAGGGAGAGAAACTGCAAATGAGTCTTTTAGGAGCAGAATTCACTCCTTCTCCTTCCCTCCAATTTACTGGCAAGTCATGCTTATTGCAGTTTTACTATACTGCAATTTTTGTTTCTTGAGATGAAATAACAACGTGGCATTCAAAAAAGCCATAATAGTGTTTGTGTTCTTGGCTGGAAGCATAGCTGCATATACAGCATGAAAGACTTAATTAGTCTACATCAAATGGAAGATTAGAATTTATTTGGCACTATTTTAGCATACCCAGTTTTTCACAAGTTATGCAAGCAGATGAAAATCTTTGTCTTATTGCATAAAACTACACAAAAGATTGACTGTAAAGCTACATTTTCCAATCCAGCAATTAATAGTCTATAACTACTTCCATTTAGGATCTGGTCTTGTTGCCATTAAAGCTATTGGGAATTTTGCTTTTGACTTGAGTGGGGAGCTGACTGTGACCATCTGGGACATGTCATTTGGAAGTGCATAGCAGAAGTTTGACAAGCCTTCCAAATTATTCATATTTTTTGATGTTTCTAAGCAATTTAAAAACAAATTTTGTACCCAATTAAATGTACACCCCTGCCTCCCCTTTCCCTCAGCCAAAGATAAGGAATATAGCTTGAGCATATGTCACTGGGCTGCTTGTAATTCTACCAAGATACAGGTAATGTATATTAAAAAAGAAAGCGAGAAGTTCACTCTAAAGCTGGAGACTTGCACACAGAGTTGGTAACAAAGTCAGCATTTACAAGCGTATTAGTAATTTGTGAGATTACTCCAAGGAGGGATTCTGCTGTACTTTATTATATCAGAAACATGACATGCTTTGAATAATAATAATAATACAAAAGATTAAAGCAGTAAAAAGCTTCTCTGTAATGTAACAGGCGCCTACACTATGACTCTTATTGATGAGCTGATGATTAGGAAGCAGTGTAATTATGTTTCCCAAGCAGAGCAGAACAGTCCAGAAACTGAAACACTTTGAAATGAAAGCCTTTTGATTCTGTTCCACCAGAAGTATTTAATCAATAAAGGTAATGTTCTACTTTGTCTAAATACATTAAATGTAGGATGATAAAATACTCAGGAAGAAAACAAACAAACAAACAAACAAACTTCAGCCATAGGAAGATAAACACAGTAACAATTATTTGCAAAACAGGTGCTGCGTTTCATAGGCCAGGACTGTACGTTTGTATGGTGGCTATGTAGGAGAAACTCTTGGTAAATAAAACAGCTACTCTTACTGGCCACATTCATAAGGAATTTTTCTGTACAAAGAAACAAGCTCCAGCCTTGCTGAGTCAAACGACGTTATTGTAGTGCGTTAGTTTGGTGGCATACTGTTTTCACGAACAAAAGCTTCTTCAAAGGAAAGTTTGCCCGAGTGTTTCGGGGTTCGGTCGTGCCGGTTCCCACTCGGTGTGACTGCTTCCGCTTACAAACGCAATTCTTATTAGTTGCTCGTTAGTTAATACCGGCTGCATGCTCCAGCCCTAATCCTGTCACTGCTGATCAATAATATTTTTCCCCAACTGACAACTGTAAATTGCATGACAATATTAATTGCCTTTAAGAAAGGGTTGGCAAGAGGCACAACATCATAAAACCTTACATCTCAGATGTCCAAAACTCCATACTGAAATCTCTTTCTCTTCAAATATTGTAAAACACTTCTTTGGAGGAGTTTCGCCTTTCAGACATCTGGATGAAATGCTAAAGCCGGGTTGTGCTATCATCAATTTATTGCTTGAGAAACACAGGCCAGTTCAAAAAATACTTGGAGTTAAATTAACAATATTTATTTGTTTTTCTATGGGTCTTGGTTCCTTCTAGCCTGCTAACTTTGAGTAATTACAGAGCAACAGTAACAACACAGTTCAAACAGCCAGAGAAATGAAAAAGTGCAGCCTTTTTTTTCTTTACTAGGCAAAACAGTCCCATTTACTGTCCTTATCTTTGATACCTTTTTAAGATTGATATTATTTCTTTAGCCTCGTAAGACAGACCCATGTTGTGCTAGCAACACCTTCACTTTACTTGCAACATTGATAGATAGAGGATAGATAAGGATTTAAGCTATGAGACTTGCTATGCTTTGCCTTTAAATCCTCTCACTCTTAGGATTATGCATCACCTAAACATGGAAACTCCTAACTGTTTTGCACAAATAAATTCTCTTTCCTGCAGATCATCTTGGGAGCCTAAATTGAGGCACGTCTAGAATAGGGGCTTTGGAGAAGCATGCAGTCAGCAGCCATTGTTTTTTGAGGGGGACAGTTAGGATCTTCTATTAAGTTAAATGCTATTTAAAAAAAAAAAACAACAACAAAAAAAACCCCTCACATGCCAGGCATCTTCAGTGACTGATTTTTCCAGCTGTTAAGCAGCTGTGCTAACAAACGTTTTCAGTGCAATTTCTGCCATTCTGCATAATGAAAACTCAAAGGCAGTTCTATTTAAAACAAGTGTTACTTATTTTACTTTCTTGCTTGTGCTGCTCCATTATCAATATGTGCCTGCCCCTGTTTCTCAGTGTGCACAAAAGGTCAAGTGGTGACTGGCCAGTACCGGATGCTTGCCAAGCACGGTGGATATGTGTGGCTGGAGACTCAAGGGACAGTGATTTACAATACGCGCAACCTGCAGCCTCAGTGTATCGTCTGTGTCAACTATGTGCTGAGGTAAGTTGTGCAGAGCATAGACACCACTTAGGAATTCATGGGCTGGAAGAAGTGCAATAATCATCGGGAGGAATTTTGGCAGGGCTTATTTACTCAATGTTGTTATTCTGAAATCGTTTTAGTCATGTTTGTTGCGTCTTGTTTACCAATGCTAGACACTGATTAAAAATGTGGCATGCCCATTCCTGTACAAGCTGTTGAAACACACCACGGCCTCTCTTTCTATAGTAGCTGCTCTGCTAGTAGAACTAAGTATAAAACCTGCACTAAAGATTTTGTTGTATAATATAAGATGCTTTGATTTTTCCAGTACTGTGACAGAGAGATAAAAACAAGTAGTAGTTGTATCTTGTGTTACTAGGAAAAGCTACCACCTTCCTCAAAAATCAGGATGCCAGGATAGTCAGTTTAGCAAAGCTCTAGTATTATTTTTTTTTTTTTTTTGGTCACAGATGAGGCCAAAATAGGAAATACTTAATTGAGCGATAGTCTGGGTCGTTATAGCCTCAGCTACATCCCTTTTAAAAACCAGAACAACAAAGCATCGAGTATTCCCACAGATATCCTGACCACATTCTCTGCGTCATTTGAGATTGTGGTGCTCAGCAACGCTGGAACCATGCCTGGCCTGACAAGAGTCTGGCATTCAAGTGAGAGAGGCCAAAACATTTTTAAAGGCCTGATCTTTAAAGAGTTTATTACCTATGTTATCCACATCTCTTTTTTTTAGAGTGCAAAATGCCTAAAACCTATTTTCTTGTTAGTGAAATTGAGAAGAATGATGTTGTGTTCTCTATGGACCAAACGGAATCTCTCTTTAAACCTCACCTGATGACGATGAACACCACCTTCGAGAATGGGATCCCCGTGGCTGAGAAGAGTGACTTCTTGTTTACTAAATTAAAGGAAGAACCAGAAGAACTTGCTCAGCTGGCACCAACACCAGGCGATGCCATTATTTCCCTGGATTTTGGTTAGTATTTATATAAAGAAGTTTTGTGAAACAAAGAACCACAGGTGAGCCTAAATTTAGAAACCTAATAGACCAGGTCTGTTTGCTGTGTGTATAAATCAGCAGTAGTGGCCCTAGAAGCCCACATACTTGCACCAGTGGAAAATTTCTGTGAATGAGAGCAGAATCTGGCTTTCTTGCTGACTAAACAACATACGTTAAGTCTATGCCAACTTATTGTCATGGCAACTAGGAGCAGGGTTTATTTGCAATGAATAGCTGCAGTTATATCATAACACAGCACTAGATCATCAAGCTGAAAGCTTCTATTAATATTGTTAAACCTCCATCCAGGGACACAGACTTTTGAAGACGCCCCTGCCTTCACCAGTGCTGTTTTGGCACCAAACAAGCCGTGGCCAGTGGAAGCGAAGAGTCACGCTGCGCAAGGTGAAACGCTGACGATACCGTCCTTTACAATGCCTCAAATTGCACCTGGCAGCAGTACTCCAAGTGCGAGCAGCAACAGTAGCTGTTCCACGGTAAGAAGAGCTTTTAAAACACTTCAAGTTGTATTTTGCATGTAGCTCTCCTCAGCATGTGCAGATGATATTTCCAGGTTCGCAGTCTTGTCTCAGTGCTTATGAAAACGGCCAGTGCATCTATATCCCTACTGCACTGCATAATCTTAAACATCAATAGCAAAATTATCACATGGGAACTGTATCCTACCTTTACACTGTAATCCTTTTTTTCTCTCAGCTGTCCCTCAGTAATTATTACAAGAAGTAGCAAAAGCCAGTACCACCTGAGTTAGCCTTAAATAAAACGCTGATGTCAAATGGTGTGGTCACAAACAAAATTCCCTCCAGACCTGTCCTCCTTCTGCTTGTTAACTAGAAGCTATAGTTTTAGTCCAGGAAGTTTCCCAGCTCCAGCTTTTGAGAGCAGTTCCATGGAGTTCCCCACTGCGAGAATTAATAGGCTTTCAGGGCATCGCCCCCAAGAGCTGGAAGGCACTCTTAGCGGACCTTTACTAGATGATGTCCAGTTTTACTGAGGAAATTGCGGCAGTGCTAAGTGTGTCTCCCTCTTGACAAAAATATTTAATAGTGTACATGTCATGCTGCTGGTCCGAGCTGCCAAAACCGTTCAACCTATCAAGACAGCTAGGTTCCTGTATTAGATGTGATAGATAGGACGGCATGCTTTTGGGTTCTGAGGACCCTGTATCTGCAGTCTTGCCATTTGCTTTTCATAGTAAAGATCTGTTACTGAAGAGCACAGTATAAATTACACGATGATATTAAGTCAGTACTGTGGTTATCTTGCTGCTTATAACAGATTTTTATTTCTGTGCAGCCAAGCAGCCCAGGGGATTACTACAGTTCTGTGGATGACGATCTTAAGATTGAGGTGATTGAAAAACTCTTTGCCATGGACACAGAATCAAAGAGTCAGTGCACCTCCCAGGTAAGGAACTAATAAATCAGTTCCATGCTGACTAGCAGGTAGTAGAGATGCATGCTGTATCTCCAGGCTTACTGACATAACAGGCAAGCTGCATTTGCACATATACACTAGGACTTCAGCACGCAACAGTAACAAAAACAGATGCTTTTAGACGCTTAGGTCTAAATTTCTGGCCCTTGGTGTCACTGGTGAAACCATTAAGACAGAACACGCCGACAGCCTTCAGACTGTGAAAGCTCTGTGGGTTAGATAAGGAATACAAGCAGCAGCGATTTTTTTAATCTCATCTGATGACTAGCCAGTAAACATCCTTTCTAGAACAAAATATAAATAAACTAAGAAGTCCTGCAAAACCTCAACATGAGAAAGAAATGCCCCTTGTGCACACAGGTCTGTAACTGCAAAATTAAATCTGCCACTTTGGACATATTCTTCTCGACTCATATCCTTAAGGATTTGTTCCTAGATGGGTCAGATGTGAAAATGTCTTGTACATAAAGTCCTGCAGTCTCCATCTCCTTGCACTTTAATCGGGGTATAAGTATAAACATTTCCTCTATTACTAACTCTCTTAATCCTCCACTGTTACAACATTACATCAAGTGAGCTAGTGGATAAAAGATGTAGGCCTGATTCAGCACACCTAACTTTAGGTACTCAACTGAAATGCCTTCATTAAGCATTTATGCTTCTGCAGCAATCAAAAGAAAGGAACAGGCATTGCTGGATGGCAGCTCAGACCTTAGACACCCATCTCCTTCTATTAGTCATATGGAAAATCTTGGAGGGGAAGTCTGGAGCCCAAATGAGATGCCTCAGTTTGCCAGAGTAACTTGCAAACTTAGTAAGATAGAGGTAAGCTGTAGTCCATATCCTGAAGGAATTTCAGTTTAAGTTTGGACATAGGCTCAGCAACGAAAACAGTAGAAAGGACGCATAACGAGGAGGGGGGGGAATGTGGATTAGGATCAAAATCAATCAGTGCAAGCCCTGACAGCTGCAAAATTGAATTCTGTCAAATTCAGCATCTGCTTGCTTAGGTGTGTCCCATCAAATTAACAGGTGCTTTGCTTTGAAAAATGAGTGTTAGAGTAATGTCCCTGTCATGAGCTGACTGGTGGGCCAACACACACTCGATTCCCTGCCTGCTCAGCTCAGAGAAATAATTAATAAGAATGCAGATGCGAGTGTAGTAGTAGCTTTCCCCACTACCATGTTAAAACCTTTGGCATGTTAGAGGCGTGTTTTCATGTAGCTGGATAGTGAGAAAGCTTTGTTTTCTATTAGCAAGAAAAAGCTTGAGGGTAAACTACCTGCCACACATTGTAGAGCTTTGGCAGACAAGCTACTCGAAGTTCAAGGAAATACAAGATCTAGTTCACATCACACTGATGTTCCAGGCTGCGTGCAAGCTGCTTTTAGCAAGTACTGCTTATCTGGGAGTCTAGCAGGGTTTTTTCCCTCAGTTTGTCCTGTTACTTTACGGATTATGATATGATGAACATATATGCCATTCACAGAAATAAGGCATGTCTTTAAATAGAAGCTGACTGGTTTCATTTAAGTAAATTTAGCATATGATGATTCTTCAGCCTCACCTCTACTAGTATTTCACATGACACTAACTGCCACAATGATTATTAATCTTTCCTTATGGACTTTACGGAGGTTCTTTATGGACTTACTTACTTTATTTTTGTGCAGACTGATTTCAATGAACTGGACCTTGAAACCTTGGCTCCTTACATTCCTATGGATGGAGAAGATTTCCAGCTCAGCCCAATCTGCCAGGAAGAACGTCCACTCTCTGACAGTGCACAAAATACCCAGCAGAGTCTAAGTAGCATGAGTACCATCTTCCAACCCCTTGCTTCTGCTTCACAGAATCAGTTCCTCCCAGAGAAGTATTGCCCACAGCTATCAAATAAAAACGTTAACCCTGGTCGTGGGTCTCTGTCATCCGTGTTCTTCAACAACGTGCGTAGGTCATCGCTGCCACCATACCACGACCAAGCCAGCACTCCCCTGTCTTCAATGGGAGGAAGACCAAATACTCAGTGGCCTCCTGATCCCCCGTTAGGATATGTTCCTACTAAATGGAGACTTATGGAAAAATACTCAGGATCCTTATCAAGTTCCCCCTCAGGGCCACCAGTACATTCTCCCAGCGTGCCCATATATAAAAAAAGGTAAGAGTTTCTGTGTTGTAACCGTGTGTTTTACTCAGGTTTTTTTTTGGGGGGGGGAGGGGAAGTGTCATAATCTTGAAAAATTCTTCTTGTCAGTTCAGATGGAATAAGTTGCTTTGATAGGCATAAGGAGTACTGGGAGCTCAGGCTGTGTTTCTGGGGAAACTGGTGTGGTGCTTTCCCAATGACAGTGCGGTGGCAGTCAGTCTAATGGCAGCAGAGGCAGACTGTTAACTTTTTATTACCTGTAAGGAGGCTTGAGTGGGTTTCCTGGTGGCCAGGTAAAAATTACACAGGTTTTGCAAAATCTGCTTTACTTTATGCAGTTTAGAAAAGTTCTGAAAAACCTGCAGACGGGAACATGGTCTACTAGTAAGCTGGGACCCATGCTTACTTACCTTGCACATATTTTTTGCCCTACAGCAACTAGGAGAGAAGGAGGGATGAACAGGGACTAGCGCAAGTGCATTTATTGTTGCTACATGCAAGTACTACAGCTAAGATTTAAAATTGCCTTTTTTTTTTTCCTACAGCCTTCCTTACCTTGATTGTTCTTACACAAATTAATAGCACTGGATGAAATTGTAGATCAAAGGCCACAGCCCTAGAAGTTTCTTACCCTTTGAGCTCTTGGGTTGCATGCAGAGTGTGTGTCTTAAGTGTTGGTCATACTAAAACATTCAGGAAGTGCACAAAATAGCACAGGTCATTTTAAAACATGAAGCTCTGCAGTATACCTGCAGTTTACTTTTGGGGTTTTTTAGTTGTTGGCAGAAATACCAGTGTCTGAATTTGCATTTGGAAAGAGAAGGTTTGTCCCCGAACAGCAACATGTGTGTCCATATTTAGTATGCAAAACAAGGGGACAGACATAGCTCTCAAATTCCTATACTTAAAAATTTAACGACTCTTTTCCACAGCATTTGTCTATCTGGAGATATCTAGAGGCACTTTATCCCAGACTTTTCATTGATCTTTGACCGGAAAAGTCAAATGTCTCCAAGGCTTGTGAAATAACTGACAAAAAAGAAATAAAAATATTTGATATTTGAGGTCTATCTACTGTCACATGTTAAAGAAAGACACCTTAAATGAAAGAAGAATTTGTAACTGAACAAGATGGTTTTAGATCTGCCTGCCTGCTCACTCACCCAGAGATCTTTTCTTAACAGGCCACTGGATGTTTTTGGGCAGCGACGCATAGATATAAATCCAGCGAGAATTGCTCTGTCTAACAGTTTGAAACTGAAGCGACAACTGGATTATGAAGAACAAGCATTGCAACAGCTGAGTGGGGTAATCATAAGAAATGAATCCCCTTCAAAATATCAGGCACACCAAGATCATCCATGTAATTATTCACTTTGCTGTTCTTCAAATTCTAGGGAGACCCATCTGTCATTAACCCATCTCATTTGATGTGGAAGCGAATGAAATTTCTGAAAGGCGAAAATTGTTCCTTGGTTACAGAAAAGAAGTCTCTCAGCACAAGTGTTCTTACTGGTAAGACAGAAGAAATTGTTTTTGCAATGTAAAATTTTGAAACAAAATTTTAAGTCAGTTTGTATTCAAACAAAAACTCCTTCAACAGGAAAGTAATGTCAACAAGCCCTGTAAAAACTACAATAAGCTAAAATTAAAGATCAGGTTATATGACTAAGAGCTGACCGGTTCAAGGTACATTTAATAATGGCCAAGTAGATTGTTTCATATGTGTTCACTCCATTGCTTTGGAGGTAACAGAGATCAGCTCGATGGAGACATGGTTCCCTCACGCTGAACCAAGGTACAGACATCTCAGAGCTAGAAAAGCTGTACCGATGCCTTCTCTCTACAACACTGTATTTCATTATGCAAACTTATCTTGGGTGCAGTGCTACTTCCAGAGCTAGCACTGCTTCTGGACTACCTTTGTTACAAGATTTAGGTAGATGGTAGGTATACCTACATCTTGTGATCACCAGGAAGATGATCGCTTTGCCTTGCTTTACTATTAGCTACTGTAACATAAATTAAGTCTTTGTTAACTTTTTCCCCCCCTCTTTCAATAAGATGAGTTTGTTTGTAACTCAAGAGGTCTGAGCCAACCAATGAACCAACTGCAGCAGCAGCCACAGCAGCAGCAACCACCCCCCTGCGGCAGTCCTGGTGAGAGTCTGAAAGCAGGAACTTTCCCCCCTCAGTTTTACAGTTCCCATTATCAGGACTTTACTGTCCAGCCAACTCATAAAGTATCAGGTAAGAACTGTCAAATACAGAATTTGGAAGGTATTGGAATTTAGTTCCAGTACTGATGCCATGAGAGAAAACTTGGAAGGAAGGAAAGAAAAAAAAAAAGGAAGGAAGGAAAGAAAAAAAAAGGAAGGAAGGAAAGAAAAAAAAAGGAAGGAAGGAAAGAAAAAAAAAGGAAGGAAAGAAAAAAAGGGGGTGAGGGTGGGGAAGATGACAAACTTAGAAGCAGATACGAACTGCTTCCTAAAATGAAAAATAAGCTCTATTGTTTAATTTGAAACTTGAATGTTTACATTTGCTATATATGGGGAAAAATGATTTTTGCCCTTCATTTTGGTTGAACTAAACTTAATACCTTTTTACTTTAGAGGTCCAGTCATCCTCTAACATATTCTTGCCTTATGATGCAATTGACTAAATTGTACTAAACTTAAGTAAGTGCAGCATTGCTACCAGAGGTTTGTGGGTTGGAGTCTTAATATGCACATTCTAAAAAATAAAAAAAAAGGAAAAGAAAGGGGACACATATAGATGGAGTAGATGTCAATTTAGAAAACTGTGTTGCTTACTCCAGCTTTCTTGATTTAAGCCAGTATCATTTTCCTTAAACAGTCTGAATTGGGGGGGTGGAGGTGGAAAACTTCACGAAATGTCAGTGTGACACATTTATAACAGTTGAAGGCACCGTGATGCATCAGTTCACTCTGAAAACTGTAACTATTGCTTTGAGGTGTATTGACATAAAACCAGAATGACATTAACTGGTGTAAACAGACGAGGAAGGCAAGGAAACAAGGCATCTCTCTGTCTCTGGTCTTATTTGACACTGTGACTTACTTCAATAATAATCTATTTATTTCAGGTATGACAAGTCGTCTGCTGGGGCCCTCCTTTGAACCATATTTGTTGCCTGAACTGACGAGATATGACTGTGAGGTTAATGTCCCCGTTTTGGGCAGTTCTACGCTCCTGCAGGGAAGTGAACTGCTCAGAGCTCTGGACCAGGCAACCTGAGCAACCCTGCAATATCCCTCGGCCTATACTGTTCAAACGGCTTCAGTTTTTAAATATATTTTTGCAAGTAGACAATTTCTAATACCAATACACTTTTACAGGATTTTACTTAGATATTGAACCTGTCCACATTACCAAATAGTGGCCTTTTGAAGTTACTCACTTTATTCTTCATATAAAGAAATACATCTACTGTATTTTCTCTATTGCAATTAAAGTGTTGTTTAGAGAGTTTGATTGCCCTCCCCTTATCTCGTTGCCTGTAATTTATACTCTAAAACTTTCTTCAATTTTTATGCTATAAAAAGCTGTGGTATAAATGCCTCATCATGTTATACTTTGGCTGCAGTACTGCAAAGATTTCTTTTTATTGCCAAAGATGAATGAAACAAATTTGATCTCCAACCACAGTTTTTTGTTGATCCGCCAAATTAAAATCCTTTGAGTCTTTCTGTTTACCAGCATTTATCATATTGTAACTCTAATAACTTTTGGAAAAGCATACTGAAAAAAAAAAAACCCAGCCTTCTGATTCCCCTTTTCCCTTATTTTAATACACTTTGTTGAAAGAAATGTGAATGGTGAACTGCAATGTTTTGTGGGTATCTGTGAAAGTTGCACGTTGTAAGCGTTTTTCCTCAGAAGCAAGCCAGATTCTCAGCTGACTTAACCTGGCTTAGCTCTATGGACAAGGTGGGGGGGTCCTACAGATTTACCCCAGTGGAGGATTTAGACCTGTGTTTTTGTTTGTGAGGGGGCTTTTTTGTTTCATTCTTTTTTGTTCCTTTTATTTTTACACAAAACAGATTTTTTTTTTTAATTCTCTCTGGGTCAATTGTTAATCACCTCTTGGTACTTTTGCTATATCTAGGACACAACTTCTTAAGAGCTGTTTCTGCTAGAACTAGTAGTATTTGTTATGGTGTTGCTGATACTTCAGGAATCTGACCAGCGGCCAGTACTAACACTTCTGATTAATGTTAGCTTTTGTAAGTTTTATATGATAGCTAGCAATATAATCTACAATACTGAATCATTAAAACTAAAGTTAAAGTAGTATTTCCCAGTGTATTAGGCTACTCAGTTATAAGTAGACAAAAAAAGAACTGAGGATTGTGTAGTGAGATCAGTAGCTGGCAGACAGTTCACTTTAACTTGCCTTGTATTAGTCAATAGCTCAAACGTCATTAAAAGGCAGCCAGACATTTTGAGAGCTCCCTTTCAACTATCATCCGTTGTCATGCACATATTTTAAAAAAATAAGGCTTTGAATATTCTCAAAGCATGTGAAGGAGTAAATTGACTATAGAATACTTAAACGAACAGCAAAAATACTAAAGTTATAAAAGGCAGGTGAGCAGTTCTGACTTTGAAATACTTACTTACAAACCTAGATATTTGTTGGAATATGTCATCTTCCTTCCTCCACTGGTATAAATCATTGTAGCTTCATTGGAGAAAATGGAACAGTGGCAATTTACACAAGGTAAAAATCTGGTCCAGAAAGTAGTCCTTAGAGCAAAGCTATCTTTTCAGACTTCCCATTCCACTGAAGCCTGTTTTCTAAAATTGCTTTTATCATGCACTGACACTTGCAGAAAAGGAGCCTTGAGTTCATTAAGCACTTCAGAGATCATCGCGTTAAGTGAATCTTAACCATATATACTATGCGCTCTTAAAAAGGAAAAAAAAAAAAAGGAAAAAGGTGAAGGTCTTCGTTGATATTCGTACATAATATAAAAAAAATTATGATAGTCCCTCACTGCAGGCAGATTTTTAGAGTTTATTAGCAAAAATAAGCTACTCTTAAAGTGAACATATAATTATATTGTAAGCGTCAAAATCTGATGAAAATTGGCAAGCCAGCTTTGACAAATTATTTGCAGTGGCAAGGACTTAAAGGCTTCAAGGATTAATGACACTTGAATACTGCTCTTCTGTTTCTTATTTGTGTAGTTTCAGCATTAAAAATGTTAAACCCTAACAGTTTACTAAAACACTCTGAAAGAATATTCCATGTCTTAATATTAATCATACTTTTCATCATAATTATTTCATAATCTATATTGCTGAATTCTTATTGACAATATTATAACTGTATGGGAACTTTAACTTGATAAGGAAATGTATTTTGACACTGATACCTTATTAAAGTATACTGATCCTAAATTCTTTGCGACTCATTTGCTATGAATTTGTCATTTGTTGTATCATTGTAAAACAAAAGTATTTATTAAATTATTTATAGAAAAATAAAGGTTTGCATTGATCTTTAAAGAATGAAAGAACAAAAAAAGTTATCCATATTTGAAAGCTGGGAAGTAAATTGACAAAGGCACACACTGTCTACCTAATTGTAGAGTTTTGCAGGTGATTAATCCAGCTTTCCTCGAATAGCGTGTTAAGGCCCTGCAGACTGTCCTTCTGAAACATTTCTTATGATTCAGACATCTGCTTCAATTTCAAAAATGGATTTCTGGCTAAGAGTTAAGAGTGTCTTTTTTAATGCTACTCCTACTCCAAAAAAAAAAAAAAAAACCCAATCAACCAACCAAAAAAAAAACAATAAGAAAAGCAATTTGAGAAAATGAGTTCTTGCCCAGAGGCATGCTCTTTCTTTGATTTTTTTTTTTTTAAGTGGCCGAGTTGCCACAGTTCCACATTTCAGTTTTTGTGCCAGTAACATAAGCTATCGTATTCGGGCAACCCTGACAAGTCCGTGAATAATGTCTTTCCACAATCCAAGCTGCAGCTTCACCCAGCTCTCAATCCCAACGCTGGTGTACATGCCAATCTTGTTCCTTACAGAAGTTACCTTTTTTTTTTTTTTTTTTTGGCCTGTGTAGTAATACTGATCATGCTGTAGGAGGATGAACACATTAAGACTCTCATTTTCAGCCACACACTTAAATTTGGGCTGGACTCTGTGGCAGGTGCTGGGGCTTAACCCATCTTCTTACTCCCCTTAA